TGTGTGGGTGAACCCTGCCTGTCCTGTTCTTTGAGCCCTGGGTCAAGAGCAGATGCCGGCGAGTGCTGATGGCACCATGGGAGCGGTGGGTGGAATGGAGCCTGCTGTGGAGCCTGTGCCTGGCTTTCCTCCAGCCCTGGGAGGCTGCACTCCTCAGCCTTCTGCTGTGCACACCTGGCTCCTGCACTGTCTGTCCAGTCTGGCCCCTGGTTTCTTTGTGTGAGAACTCCCATATGAAAGAAGAAGCAAATTGTGCACTGGAGACCCCGCTGTACCACCCCGCCCCATGGCATTAATCTCTGGAGAGAAACCGGCAGCTAGGAACTGCCACACATGGTCTGCACCTGGAAGATGACCAGCTAGCGATGGAAATCTAGTGTTCTAATGGGGCCTTCTTTTTTTTTTTTCTTTTTATTGAGTTTATTCGTACAATCTAGGTATATAATACAGTTACATTCATCATTGGGATTATGTAACTTTACATAATAGGTCTTGATTCTCATTTTTCCCCTTGTCCCTGCCCTCCCTTCACCCCCTCCTCCCCTCCCCATTTACAAACACTTTATTTCCATTTTTTCAGTTTCTCATATTTTTTTCCTCTCCCTTATTACCTTTCCCCCACCCTTCCCACTTTCCCTACACCTTTAGCCCTTTACTTCCTATTTCACATTATTAATATCTCATTAGGATCCTGTGTACTATTATAGTTTTTCACAACAGAGAAACTATTTGGTATTTCAGTTAAAGGAATCTCTGTATGAACATAAAAAATAGGGAATCCTAAAATAAAACTAAAAAGGAGAGTAAAAGAGAAAAGGCAATGATGTAACATTAAAATAATCCTTAATTCTGGAGATGAAAATGGTCCCTGAACATATTTAAATTGCTTCTTGCTCTTATAGTCTTATCTTATTCTTTTTTTTTCATTATTTAGAGAATATTAGTTTCTGTAATCAAACCCACGTAGATATGACCTTACATATTTAGTACGGTGTTACCCCTGTATACATGGAAAAAAAAATTAACATTTCTAGACCAATATGGTTGTCCATTTCTGTACAATGCCAACTCAACACAGTAAATTGGGATGACTTTTTCCAAAATTGGCAGCACCGTTAAGGTTTCCCAAAATTCAATTTATATATATATGTATATATATTTATATTTATATAAAAAGATTAATAATAGCAGTATGTTATGCATCGATAGCAGCAACAGCTTTTCCAGGTTCTGCAGTCATCTGAACAAAATTATAGACATTCAGCACATTCCATTAAAAAAAAACCCAAATAAAACAAAACAAACAAACAAACAAAAAAACCAAAGTAAAGAATAATATCCAGAAAACAGCAAAGTTTTGTTGCTGTTGTGGTACCTGGCACCATTTTTTTTTATTAGCATTGTAATCATCATCTGGAAAGAGAACATTCTAGAGTAATATCATTAAATGTAGCTTTGATAAAGCACGGTCATACTTATCATACGTATCATAAAGCAGGTGAAAGATATTTTGCATTCGTAGAGGTATGATACAGTACTGTCCTACATCAATAATACTAGAATCAGTTTTGGTTTGAAATTTACTTTGTCTGCCAGTAAGATTGTTGCCCCTGTTTTTTTCTGGGTTCCTGTCACATGGAGAATTGTTTTCTATCTTTTCACTTTCAGTCTCTGGACTTCTTTTCGCACTAGGTGTGTTTCTTGTATACAACATGTTGTTGGATTTTGCTTCTTATTCCATTTTGCCAGTCTATTTCTCTTGATTGGTGAGTTGAGACATTGAAGGTTATAAGTGACATTGCTGGTTATAAGTGATATGTACTGACTTATTATTGACATGTTATTGGCCTTTTGTTGACTCTTTTTACTTTTTCACCTTCTTTTAATTTCTTGCCTTGCCTATTTGATTTGCTCTGTTGGGCCTCATGGCGTTGTTGCCTTCATTGTCTTTTTCTAGGATCTTGTTTAGAATTGCTTGTAGTGCTGGTTTGGTATTCATGTAGTTTCTCAGGTGTTCTTTGTCGTGGAAGTGTCTTATTTCCCCCTCCATTTTGAAAGAGAGCTTTGCTGGATACATCAGTCTAGGTTGGAGGTTGTTCTCTTTTAGTACTTGAAATATCTCATTCCAGGCTCTCCTTGCCCCAAGGGTTTGTGTTGAAAAGTCTGCTGTGATTCTGATGGGCTTTCCTTTGTATGTGATTTGTTTCTTTTCTCTTACT